ATTTTCTACATTAAAAAAGTTAATAATTTGTAGTAGATATCAGTTTTGCTTTGACACCTTTCATAATTAATTTCTTTAAGCTTGCCAACCACTTTGTCATCCTTTTGAACCAAATGAACCAAAAAGTTTTTAATCAGTTGTGCTTGATATCATATGGTGAGTTGGATTTCTTATCTACATGTTCGCCCATTCATTTTAAAGAACCTTTATAGCAATGACAATTTTCTAAATCCAAAATAATTAGTTAAAGCCTCCATTATACTTGTTAATGAATGAAAGTCGTTTTTCTAGACATGCATCAACATAGATTGTTGCATTAATTGCTTCAGCCTCGCAAGCGCAAAATAATGATTCAGACGTACTTTTTTTTTGATACGGCAAATTATATTATTTCATTTGGAAATTTTACAAAGCAAACACAACCTGGGCATGTCTTTTTGACTTCTTTATTTTTTTTATTGTTTTTTTATTGGTTGTTCAATTATGAAAGTCTTCTTACATTTTTTGTATTAAATATTTATTTTATTAAACTATTTAATTTTGATAAAGTATATTCAAACACATAGTAATATAACTATATTACATATTCTTATCTACATTTACAATATAAATATACTTAAAAGCTTATCTTGAAGTAATATATATTTTTTTGACTTCTTTAGTTTCTTTATTGTTTTTTTATTTGTTGTTCAATTATGAAAGTCTTCTTACATTTTTTGTATTAAATATTTATTTTATTAAACTATTTTATCAAGTTTTCTTTGATTGACCCCTTCATAAAGGTTCATAAGTTTATTTTTTCTAGTCCAGAATGTTTGACAATGAGAACAATTTTTAGCATATAATGAATTACTTGAGTCAATTCGTCCTAAATTGTATTTTGCGCTATTCCTTTAATATTTAAATAACTTACAGTTTAACATTATTTGATACTAAGATTATTTTACGTATGTATATTTTTTTATTATATATTTTACGCCAAGTGCTCAACAACATCCGACAATGCTGCTTTATATACCTCTAGTTGATAAATTATCACATGCTATACAGTATATTTTCAAAGCATTCTTTTTTTATAGAATCAATTTAAAATGTTTACCTAACCTAAATTTTGTTAAATTTAATAACTATTAATTAGTTTGCATAATGGTGTCATCAATTTTATTATTGACTTCTCATTTCTACACAAATTGCACAGGAAGCTATTTTAACAAACGTTGTGCTGGATAAAGCTAGTAACAGTGTTTTCGCACTTACTATAACAGCAGTTATGCTAGATAGCTACTCAGCCAGAAATCAAGAGCTTTTGTAAAACAATTAACGGAGTTTACTGTTACAACTTCAATTTGAAGCAAGTTTTAAGTATTTCCAATTCTGTTGAAAAGAAAATTTTCCTTTAAAAGATGTTCACCAAATTTTTTGTAGTTTTTAAAGCAATGCTCTATTAAACAGTTTTTACCAATTTTCTTTTCATTTTCTACTGTTTATCTTGTCAATACTGTACATAATATTGTATAATGCTAACAAATCTCCTCTTTTTATTTTCTCCGTCAAAGTTCATCCCAATTTTTAATTTGATTTGCCGATTGCCATAGTTACTTTTTCCATTTAAGAATTATAGAAAATATAGGTCTAAGATTTCGTTCAGAACCTGAATTATGAAATTGTATAAGTTTATTAAAAAGAGGATTATTTCTATTAATGGAGCCATAATCACAATGCATTTGTTTATGTTGAATTTCAACAACTAGTCATGAGTCTACTCAAATGCTTTGTTTAAGTTATTCTGGATTTCTATGACACACAAGTCTGATTTTACTATTGATAAAATTTTTGGCAGCTGCCGATGACCAAACTACCCGTTATTTTACGGAAAAACCCATCGTATGTAAGCGGAAGTTTCCGTAAACAAACGGATTTTTTGCGTTATAATACAATGGGTTTTTCTTCCATTTTGAGTCTACTCTAAATCTAAAATAAAAACAAAAAAATAAAGTTTTTGAGAAAGAAAAGATTTTAGTATTTACCAAAGTAATAAATTATAAAAAACACTCATTTTGTGCAATGGTTACCTTAAAGTTGCTACTCAATATGAGTGATTTAACTAAGGCCAAGCAACGAACAACTCTGGATAAGGTTAAAAACTCTTTTGAGCAATAAATAAATACCTACAAGAAATAAAAACTTAAACTAAAAAATGATACAAATAGAGGTGTTATAATGGAATATAACCAATCTCAGTTTGTTTTTCATTGTAATGGTGATAACCGAATTTCCTGTTAATGCCATTGTTGGCGCCATTTTTGTTAAATAGATAAAATTCTTTACAACTTTTTTAAAATCAAATCACATTAATTAATTACCAAATTTACTAACAAAATAACTCAACAATTTAACAGTAAAACCCAAATTTTCTTTTCTATAATGAAAACTTATCAAATCATTATTTTTATTTAATATAAAACAATTTCAAAAATCAAATTTAAAATTTATTAATAAAGATACTTACTTAGGTCTAATCTTTATCAAACTAAAAAAAATTATAAAACATAACTATAATATAACAGAAAATCTGGTCCATTGTCATCACTAATAAAATAAGTATATAATCAATAAAAATTTTACCATTTTTAAAAAAAAGATATTTTTTTTTGTTTATGCTTAAGTTAAAAATTGTTAAAAACCAAAGTACATTACCTATCTTGGATCCTTTTTTTTTTTTTGCAATATATCTACCTTGATAGACTATATTAAAATATATTTAAAAAGTATAAAAAATTTTATAATTTTGAAAAAAAAAAATTTCTTTTCTTTTTGTTCTAAATATAAATAATGAACTAAATGATTAAGTATAGTACTCATAACAAACTTTTTAACTCTTACAACTTTGAGTGTTTTTTTATCTAAAATAAACAAATATGAACACAAAAATGATATAAATATTTTATAATAGACTAATAGACACACACACACAGATATATATATATATATATATATATATATATATATATATATATATATATATATATATATATATATATCCCAGCCGGCATTATTACGTTGTTTCAACGTTGAAATTCGGTTGAAGCGTTGTTTCAACGTTGTTCAACTATGTCACAACGTTAAATCAACGTTACCGTTTAAACGTTGATTATTTAACGTTATTTCAACGTTAAATCAACGTTACAGTTTAAACGTTGATTATTTAACGTTATTTCAACGTCATTATTTCAATTATTGTTGACAAAAAAAACGATATAAAATTTATGCGCGCGCAGAAATGGAAGTAAAATCGTAAACATTATTTCAACGGTTAAAGTTATAGAGATTTATAATGGAAAAAAAATGTAAATACTGAACTTATATCATATAGAATTTTCAAGAGATCGAAAACATGTTCAGACGATTTTCCTGAAAGAACATTATCGTTTAAAAATCGATATTTTTCGTTTAACATGGGCTGCAATGCTCAAAGACTTATAATTAAATGTAAATATAATACAACTTTTTCAAAAAAAGATCCATTAAATTATGTTGAATTTAATGCTAAGCGTTGTTTTTTAATAGAGCATCAAGAATTAAAAAAAGGAAATTGATAACTTTAAAAAAGAACTTCAGCACGAAATAAAAAAATAAAGATTTATTTGAAAAATAAACTTCAACCACATCAGTTATTACTATAAAAACAGACAAACTTGTATATAAACATAATCCAAACAAATCGTGTTATTGCAATTTACTTGTATACAAACATTTATTTTAAAAATGGTAGATCTTGCGACTTTTATACTGGCCTTACATCTGTCAATGTATTTCATCAGTTAGTGCATTAATCAAAGAATCACCGTTAATCAAAAGAACATAAAGTGATATTAAAAAAACATTTACTTCTGTTTTTTGGAAACTTAAAAAAATTCTTAACTACATGGACCAAAATAAATGTAATGCAGCAAAGATGAATTTTTAATGATGCTAATACATGGATTATTGACAGCTGATTTTGCTGACAGGTTTAATATATTTTTAGGATTAGCGAATGCAATATTTTCTTTATTGTTGAAAGCTTCTAGCTCACTTTTAAACCACATGGTTTTTGTTCCAAGTAAAGATGTTATAAGACAGGCAATGCAAAACAGATTTTAGAAGTTAAATTATTCAGACTTACACTAAATTTCAGATATAACAGAATTTATTATGGAAACACCTTAAAGTTTTGACTCACAGAAACTAACAGGGAATAAATACAAACATTACAACAATATAAAAACATTAGTACCCGTAGCTCCAAATTCATCAATAATTTCTTTAAAAAATTTCTAAAGCTTACAGATGCTAAATTTTGGATAAAAAAATTACATATCGCAACAACTATTTAGATTGTATTACAAAATACTCTTGTATAATGTATGATTAAGGCTTTAATATTAATTTTTTAATACAAATGAAGTGATTTTAATTAAATCCATTTTTATCAGTCACTTTAAAAATATGATGAGTATTTGTATAAGGATAATTAAAATTTCAAACAATAATATTAGCTTTACTTGTTGTTTTTTTTTAGGTGAATCAATTGCAATTGATAGAATATCTTTAAAATGTTGAGGTAATCAAAAAAAATTTTAATTATTCAGGAAGTTTAAGGATTAAATTATTTAGCAAAAAAATTGTTTGATAATGAGTTCATATTAAATTAAAAAAAAAAAACTAATGGGTAAAAATATATGAAATCATCCAAAAAAAAATAATTTTCGACACCCTTACATCTCAGAATTTGTTTATTTTTACACCACTTGCAGTCCATATCAAAAAAATAACTGCAAAAATTTTAGTTGAAAATACCAATGGGTTCCAGAGATATCGTCAATTGAAATAATGCTGACTCAGCATTTTAGTGATTTTCTGAAGCGACTACAAAGCAACTTTGACATACAATATCTTCATAATAGCTTGGGGAAATTTCCTAAAATTTGGTACTCTAATAGATTTTAACTTGAGGAATCCAAAAATAGCCTTTTTAAGACTCGATTATCTCAAGAAATGCCTCATTTATCCAACTTTGTTCAAAATTATTGACTTGTAAGTTAGTGATTTTTGGAGGTAAAATAAAGACTGTGGCCCAATATCCCGAGTAAAAATTTTAATTGTATATCATTATTTCATCTTAGGTCTACTGAAAAAAATTAGATTCATCCATTGCCTCTCTAATACATGATCAAAATTTGCATTTAAAAATGGTGTCTTTATAGAAAAATTTAAATTTTGTAACAAAAGCAATTAAAATATTTTTTTAACATTTATTTGAATAAAACACCAAATAGTGTTATTTATTGACTAGTTTAAATTTAAATAAACATTTAAAGGGAGGCCCCTCTGCCCCCTCCCCAAATCTCCCTATATATATATATATATATATATATATATTTTTTTACATAAAATGAATATATTTGAATATATATATATATATATAAATGAATATATATATTTTTTACATAAAATGAATAAATAATAGTTGATTGTTAAAATAGATTTTAAAAACATATTTTTTCAGTTTAAGTTTGAGAAACGATTTATTGCGTTACTTCAAATCGATAAATACGTACCTCTTATTTCAAAGATCTTTTTACGATTTTAAGTCATAAATTTCAAAAACAAAAGTTTTAAAATGTTTTTAAAACATATTGACAATAAATATCTTTATGTAGTTTTAGACTAATATAGTCATTGACATAATAAGATGAGAGTGATTTGTGATTTGTTTAAACTCCCACCCCTCCTTCTCAGCCTACAATTCAAGGATTTGAAAAAAACAAAAGACATTTAAAATGCAAATTAGGTAATAAAATGAAAACAAAATTACTTTAAGCATAATTAATTTTTTTTGTAACCAACAGTTTATATTCTACAAATCTAAATCAGTTATGTTGTATGTACGACCTGATATTGTTGTGGGTGTAGAAATTAGGCATATAACTTCAGAATTGAGCACCCAACACTCATCAGTTCTTATTAGCCAAAAGAAGTTTTTACCTGGTCCATGTGGATGCATGAATCTGACTTTTATATCAAGCTCACTTACATCTTCTGCAATCCCTATCCACCAAAATCCATCATAAAAACATGCAATATAATCCATTTTTTTAACATTTAATGAAATATCTACATAATATTTGCTTTTTAGAATGATATCAAATATTTCAGTGCATGCATCAATACTTATTTTTTTATAACTTATAGTGTTTGGAGCAATTGGAATAAAATGATGATACATCCTTGTGCCAGGAACTGTTCTTCCACCTAAATATCTTTTTTCTAATTGTGCTCGTGTTTGATCAATTTCTTCTTTTGAAAATAACTTAAAATAAATTCCATTTATCTTGGCTTTACAAAAGGAGTACATTAAATTAACATCTAAAATCTGCCCAGTAGTTATTTGTTTTAGACTTTCTTGACATACTACTCTTTTAACAGTCCCACTAATACCATCACAGGGGGATTTACCATGACTGGTAGCAAAAAGTACCCATTCAGCATTTAAATCAAAGTCTTTACTGTGATGACAAAGATTGATTAAATTTTTAAAATTTTTAAATTGTGCTGCACAACCATCAGAAAAGTATTTCACACTTGATACATCAGGTAGATTTTCTTTGATATATCTAGTTATATCTTCCTGAGTCTTGTAAATAAATCCTGTGTCATGATCAACATCTTCTGAAAGGTAACAAAAAGATTTATGTTTGAGAAGTTTGTTTTCTATAAAATAAAGTACAACTGTATAAAGTGAGCATTGACTTTTGCTCCAGTGATAACTTTGAACCTCATCCTGAACAACATATTGATAGTTTTCAGCAAAATCTCCTAAAATTAAGCATTCGTTTTGGTTTAGATTTTCTTTAAAGTTTTTTAAGTATCTTTTTTGTGTTTTTGGAATATATGAATGAGTGGTAAGGTTGTCAATACTGTCACATAATAAATCAATAAATTCATCTGGTGGCAATGACTGTGAAAGTAGTGTTGTACGATCTGTACTCTGCCATTGCTTAAATACTACATCTTCTTCATGCTCATGGTCCATAAACTCCTGCACTAAAAAACTTTTTTACGCTTCAATACCAGGACATTGGTTACATCGATGTAACATACATTCTGCATTTTCAAGAGAGCAAACAATCAATGCCATGAAATCTTTATAACTTTTATTCCACCTAATGGCATCAATGAGAAATTTTGTATTTTGGTGATGTATGCAAACACATACATTGTGGGTACCTGACGCATTAGTTGTAATACACCATTTAGGTTTAAGAGTACAAAACTTTGACAAACTGACATTGACGTTAGGGTAGTCTTTTTTAAATGCAACATGTAATTCATTAAGATTGAGTAGCAATAATCTTTTTTGAACATGTTGGTTTTTCTTAACACTTACATAATCTTTTTTTCCTGGCATCATTCTTGAAAATTCATCACTTTGATAAAAGTTAATCACTAAATTAACTGTTTCTGGTAAAAGTATGTTTCCAGTTTTTT